ATGTGTGTGGGTGCAGTCGTGCTGAGGCTGGGGTTCTGTGGAAAGCCTCGTGGAGGGGTCCAGCCAGCTGCTAACAGCTCCGGGATATCAGCCTGGTAGCCACATCTCCCATTATTACATAAGTAAACAGAAGCTGGGGAAGGTGACCTCCTTGGGGCTCCTCGTTCCTCATTCAAACCTGCACATATGAGTTTAGTTGGACCCAGAGACCAGCTCAGCAACCAGGACTCCTGACCTCACTAGTTCCAGGACTTCCAGTATGGGTGCACCTGCCAGGACTTAGCAAGTGGATGTGGCTGGCCTATTGTGCTGCCAGACTGCTGGTTTTGAGAAAATTGTAATACGTTCTACACACACACACACAGATATACAAGCACGCCCATACATGCACTGCTTACATGTGCATGTGGCTATAAAACAAACATATATATACACACATGTGTACATTTATTCATACACCTACATCTGTGCAGACATACACACATGCATGCATGTGTATACACCATCACGTGTATGGGTGCATACACATATGCATAGCACCTGGACACACGTGTGTGTAAACGCACTGCCTAACTTTTAGTAATGGTGGAGTCCTATTCTAGTCACTCTCCAGTACTGGGTTGTCATTTGCTCGGGAATGCAGGGTGAAGATGCGCCAGGCAGATCCGCAGGTGTCATCGCTGGAAGGGATCCATAAGAGGAACTGAAGCCTCGCTTATAATTAGCATCAGACGCACCCGTGTGTCTCTGCCTGACTCGGAATGGGCTGAGATCAGTACGTGTTCAGAAGCACATGCTTGTCCCGCCAGGGTAGGCACTCATTGTGGCTGACGTTTTCTTTCAGGAAAGTGGATGTATCTCCCAGGCAGAAGCCCGCGCAGGTCTGGCATTGGTTTTCACCAGATTTCACTATTACATTTGTCTCACAGCTTTAAAATAGGAGCAAACATGTGCAATTTATTTAAACAACACTGGGGAAACTAACGGCACGCAAGCTCATCCAAAGCAAATGAAGATAAAACAGGTTTTTAAAACAGCTGCAACCCCTAGTCTGAAATTCAGAGGACCCAGGTATGCTCCTCCTGGTCCCAGGTATCACCAGGCAACAGACCCAGCAGCCTCAGCCTCATGCAGGGAGATGGGGGCTCCATGGATTGTGCTGGGGCTGCCTGAGGACCCCACCCTTACCTGGGAAGACGCGTTTGCAGATCTGACTGGCTGCCCTCCTGCAGATGTGCTCCAGAATAAACCCTCACCTCACACCATCCCTTCTCCGAGCAGATACCTGGGGTCAGGTGACCTGATTACCTGCAGGCCATGAGACCCTGCAGCCAGGGGCTGTGTGTTCACTGAGCCTCGGTCCTCCACCTGCAGCCTGCCCATCATCGGGGCTTCTCAGAGTGGATTGCCGGCTCCACCCAAAGTCATTAAGTACAGGTGGGACCTAGGCATCTGTGTTCCTGATGAACTCCCCAGGATGGCACCAGCCTGGGTACTCAGAGGCCTCTCTCCCCAGATGGGATTGTTCAAAGATATCCTGGGCGCAGGGAATGCCACTCAGGTCCGCCAGCCTCTGGTACCCTAGCTCTGCCTCGGGAAGACGAATTCTGCCCCACCCACTGCACATCTACCTCAAAGTTGGACAAAGGGGACTCGAAGTCACAGGGAGAGACCCCAGAAGGGAGGGCACCCTGCTCAGGTGCTCTGGCCTCGGGGTCAGACTCCTGACATCCAAATCCTGCCTCCACAAAAGGAGTTCTGGGCCTTCAGGAGTCGCTGGGGCTCTCAGGTTCCTGTTTCCACCCTGGTAAAGTGGGGTGATGGTGCTTCCTGCCGAACTGGATGCAGGGAGACTGCATGGAACTGCATGTGGCCCAGTGCCTGGAACCTGAGTGCTCAGTGCGCGGTCACAGTTATTGTTTCTCTTGACTGTGTTGGGGTTATCTCCGTACTTTCAGCAGTTGGAAAAATCTGGTCTTTCTCGTCAAAGTGTAGACATCAATAATCCTAATTATCATGTCTCCAAGGTAAAGCCCTGGTTCCTGGGCAGGTGCTGCCCGTCTGGGGCCAAGTCTCAGAGGGGGGCCTGTGTGGTCACCAGGACATGGAGTCTGGCTGCGATCCTCACCTGACACCCATGCCTATAAGGCACTGGCTACTGATCTGGGTGAGGAGACCACAGAAACCTGCATTTGGGATGCAGGGAGAGAAGATGAGGCCAGAGCTGCCCTGAAAGCAGTTGCGCAAAGTCCCCGAGGAGCCCAGCAGAGACCCTGCCCCTTGCCATCATGAGGGGCTGAGGGTGAGTTGTGAGGCTGCCTCTATCTGCCCCGAACTGAGGTTGGCATAATGTTCCATTTCCATAGAAATCAAGGCCCCTGGGAAGTTTACACCGGGCACCGCTCCTTTTTAACAGAGGATGAGCATGGCCTGTGGATGCCTTTGGGTCTGAACTGCTGCAAACTCCCAAAAGCAAGAGCTCAGCCCGGGTCCGCCAGGACCATGGGAGGGAGGCCCGCGGTGACCATCACTGCAGGGAGACTTGCCTGGATGGACAGAGCTCCAGGTTGAGGCACTGGGGGGTACAGAACTTTATTCTTTGGCAACAGTAGGCAGTTGTGTCTGCATGTCTTTAACTTAATTCTGTGCAGGATTTTGTGCAAAGGGAGTGGGGAAGGCACTCGCCCAGAGGTGTGGCTCAGACTGCCGGGTGCTGTCGCCTGGAATGAGGACCCCCAGGGTTGAAGGGGCAGCCTGTGGGCAGAGAGCCAGGGCTAGCTCCATCCTACCACCTGGACCAAGGCCACCTCTGCTGTGTGGACCCTCATGTCCTGCTGTCTCTGAGATACAGAGCAAAGCAAACAGCAGCCACCAAGAGCATCGGGAGTCATGTGCACAGCCACATTTACAAGTACAGAGAGCTGAAAGGCGTAAAGTAAAATTAAGTGTTGGAAAACTCCTGGCAACCAGGGAAAACCAGTGCTTACATTTCTATGCATTTATCCTTTAAAAAAAAAAACATGACTCTTGCCACATATGTGCTTTTTCTCCACTTATTAATACTTTAGGGCATTACTAACTCTTCATCAGAGTCTTTGGGGAGGTCTCACTCTGTCACCCACCTAAGCTCAGGCGATTCTTTGATCTCAGCCTCCTGAGTAGCTGGGACTACATGGATACGCCACCACACCCAGCTATTTTTCTTTTTCTTGTAGAGTTGAGGTCTCACATGTTGCCTAGGCTTGTCTAGGCTCAAGCAATCCTCCCACCCACCTTGGCCTCTCAAAGTGCTGAGATTACAGGTGTGAGCCGCCATGCCTGGCCCAGAGTCTCAAAAGAGGAACTATATATATACATATTGGATTCAGGGGTACACATGCATGTTTGTTACATAGACATATTGTGTAGTGGTGGGGAACTCAGGTAGCCCATTCCCCAGATAGAGAACACTTTGCCTCATAGGTAGTTTCTGATCCCTAGTCCCCCTCTCCCCATATTGGTGTCCCCAGTGTCTACTATTTCCTTCTTTGTAACCATTTAGCTTCCACATAGGAGTGAGATTATGCGGTGTTTGGTTTTCTGAGTCTGTTCACTTAGGATGATGAGTCCAAGCTCCATCCTTGTTGCTGCAAAGGATGTGATTTCATTCTTTTTTATGGCTGTGTAGTGTGCCATCATGTGTATGCAACACATTTTCATTATCCACTGATCAGTTAATGGGCATTTAGGTTGAATCCACATCTTTGCAGTTGTGAATTGTCCTGCAATGAACATGTGGGTTCAGGTGTCTTTTTTATAAAACGGCTTCTGTCCCTGGACTTTTAATAACAATGATAACATCCCAAGATGTGAACATAGTGTAATGTGTTTATTATTTACTAGCAGAATCCAGATTTGTATTATTAAATTCATCTGCAGTGAGCATCGTACTACAAAGACCTTCACCCACAAATGGCTTCCTCGAGACAGATTTCCAGCTGTGGAGTTATTGGATCCAAAGGGAGAATCGCTATGAGGCTCTCAATGTTATTGGCAACCTCAAGACAGAGGGCAGTGTGGGGTGACCCCAGACCCAGCCGGGGAGCCACACCAAGACCTGCGCCACCTGTCTGGAGCCCGCCAGCTCCCCCCCAGGCATGGACAGAATACTTTCTCGGGCTCCTCTACTGTAACCCCCACAGCAAACCCTCTGGATCCAGGGTCCTTGCTGCCACCCCCATTTCAAAAGAGAAGAAACAGGGTTTGGGGAGATTGAGGGACTTTGCTCCGTGTCATGTGACCCTTTGGATGCACTTATGAATAAGGCGCTAGGTCTGTTTCAAGTCAACTCCCACACCCACAGCTGCCACCCTCCCCTGACTGACTCACAATGCACTCCCAGTATTGCAGGTTAATTTTGTTTCATCTTGTCAATTTGTTGGGTGAAAAAAAAATATTACTTTGATCTGCATTACTTGATCACTGAAAGAAGTGAGCATTTTTCATAAGTTTATTGACTATGTGTATTTTGCGGTGAATTCATCTATTTATAGCCTTTCTTGTTATGAAAAAAGATTCCTTTTTCTTATTGATTTGTGAGAGCTCTTTATATATGACTTAATTCTTTGTCAAATTTATTGTAAATCATGTTTTCCAAATTTCTTTTTCAACTGCTTTTTGGGTATGTTTTTAAAAAACAGGAGCTCTAAATGCAAATATATTCATCTTTGCTGTTGTGCTGTCTTCCATTGTTTGGGCTTTCAAAGGCCTTGTCCACACTATTGGTGAAACAACCAATGATATTTTCTTCTTTCTTTATGGTTTCCTTTTCCCCATGTAATTTTGTGATCTATCTCACTGTATTGATGGGGTATCACTCAACTTTTTTCCTTAACATCCCCTTCCCCGACATTATTTGATCTTTCCCTGTCAACCTAGGATACTGGATTCTCTTAATAGATGCCTTTTCCCCAGTGCAAAACTTAACCACCTTCTCCACCTCTTCTCTCCCTCCTCCAAATGCCACAGAAAGGAAAGAACATGGCCCCAGACTCCTCTCCACCCCCGAAGGACACACTACTGCCATGGCCCCAGCACCACAGCTCCAGCGGACTGAGGAGGCAGAAGCGGGACTGGGTCATCCCCCCCATCAACGTGCCAGAGAACTCGCGCGGTCCCTTCCCACAGCAGCTGGTGAGGGTGAGTCAAGACCCCTCCCGCCGCACTGGGCATGTCTCTGCCTTCCCCGCCTTCCCTTGAAAAGCAAGGTATAGGTTCTGCCTTTGGTGTCCAAGATCAAGGTTTCACCTTTTCAGTATTAAGTGTTGTCTACAGAGCAGAGAAAAATCCTGCAGGGGATGACGCACGCTCTGGAGCTGTATGTGATCTCTCTCTGGTTGTTTTCAAATGACCACTCTGTGCGTGGGAGCAGGTGGGGGTGGGGATGGGAGTGGCCTTTGGCCCCTGACCCCTTCCTTTGATGGATGGTTCGCATACTTTCCAAAGTGGTGTTTCTGAGAGGATGGTCACTGAACTGAAGAGTCAGGAGTCTGGAGACCAAGGCCGGTGAGGCTGCATAGGAGGCGGGAGGCGGCGGGAGGTCTTATTGTCACTGGGCTCCCAGAGCCACCTCAGGCTGATTTTTCTCCAGAAAGAATTTGTTTTCCAAATTTGTGTTTCTGTAATCAAGGCCGTCAACCAGCAATTTCTTCTTTCTTTGAAGGAAATTGCAACCCAATTGGAGCAATAATTTGATAACATGTCGGTGAGAATTCCATTAAACAATCCCCATCCGTGGTGGAAACTCGCCCCTACTCTTTGGAAATGAGGGTCCCCAGAGCGTGATGAAGGGGCTGTGCTTGTTCTTGGCACTGATTAGCCTGTTTTGTTTCCCGTTCCTTCCAGCACAGAAGGCTGGGTTGTGTTTATTGACAAACACAGGCACAGAAAAGCAGTGGACAGGTAGGGCCCCCAGTTCTTTACCTCCCCAATGCCAGCCTTGAGGGACTCACCGGCCTAGCCAGGAAGGAGCCCAAGTGACAGATCATTGGAGTAGAAGCTCTGACCTGGTGAACGTGGCGTGTGCACACACACCACCCAAGGTGCCTTGGATGTAAATGCACCCCCTGCCTTCTGCATGAACCGGCCCTCCTGGCTCTGCTTCCCCAGCCCCCTGCTGCATCCTCACCTGATGGGGTCTTTTTCCTGATCCTCTCACTCCCCTGGAGCTGCCTGACTGGGTGGGAGGTTTTGCTTATGAAATGGCGTTCGGAGCTTGAGGGATATGCTGAGGGTTGAAACCCCATCCCAGGACCATGTCTCCAGAGCCAGCCAGCCACGCTCCCATCCACCAAGGAAGCTGGAGACCATGCCAGTGGCAGTTCTGTGGCCCTATGCCCTGCTCATGCCACACTGCCTGTGGGTGTCTGCCCTGCTTGGCTGTCGTGAGTGCTGTCGTTGACTTAAATGGACCTCCACGTGCCTCATTCCTTACATAAATGGGTTTATTCTAAAGGGAGACTTTGTGTAGACTGTGACTGGACCCTGGTATTATTGGTTCTGATGGAAGCTTACAGTTGACGCAGTAGAGGGCAGCAGGGGCCTCCCTGGGCTGTCCTAGGGAGGCCGTGTACAGGTCAGAGTGCTATAGAGATGCCAGGATCAGAGCCTTCCTCTCTGAATGGCATCAGAATTGAAAGAAAATTGCAAAGGGAATGGGTTCCATGGTGCTCTCAGCTGGATTCAACACCTGTGCTTTGCCACCCCAAAATTGTCCTTTGCAGAAAATCGTGGATCCTAGGAGTCAGCAAGCCTTTCCTGGGAAGGGTCAGACAGTATTTGTGACTTTGAGACCATAGCCTCTGTATCATCTTATGAGAGCAGCCCTGGGTGATGTGCAGACTAGCAGGGGTGGCTGCGTTCCAATAAAACTTTATTTACAAATACAGGCAGTGGCCTGCATTGGCCCCCAGGCCATGATTTGACAACTGCTGACCCAAGCTCTTTCCAAAACTACAAGAAGGTCTGCCCAAGCCGTCCTTGCAGCACGTGATGGGCATGGCACATCATTTGTTAGGTGAGCGAACCACAAATTCAAGGGCCCCGTCCACTCACATGCCAAGAAGCGTGTGCACATGACATTTGGCCAGTATCTTTGCAGGACTGTCCTGGCTGATCATCTGGGACCACCCATGGGATGTCCCTCCTCTGCCCCTGTCTGTAGATAGGCTTGTAGAAGGTAGCACAGGAGGGAGTCATGTGGACAGAGCCTTGTTCCAGAAGGAACCCAGCAGCCCGGGCAACATCACCCACTGGGCTCACTAGTTCTGTGTGTCTGCCCCCTGCTGGGCAATGGAGGAAAAGGCGCCCCTGCACTTTCTGCCTGGCCATCCTCCTGTGGGGTGGGTGGGGAAGGAGTCAGGACTGGGGACAGGGCTCAGCAGAGGGCCTGCGTCACAATGGGCCCATGATCCTGCTGATGGGTAGGGCTCCTCTCAAGACACCATGACAAGCACTGAGCTTCCCAGCCGGGCTCGGTGGCTCAGCCTGTAATCCTGCGCCTTTGGGAGGCTGAGGTGAGTGGATTGCCTGAGTCCGTGGGTTCGAGACCCACCTGGGCAGCAAGACCTCATCTCTACAATAAATTAAAAAAATCAGCCGGGCGTGGTAGCGCATGCCTGTAACTCCGGCTAAGGAAGGATCGCCAGAGCCCAGCAGGCGAGGCTGCGGTGGCTGGGAGCAGCCACTGCACTCCAGTCTGGGTGAACGAGTGAGATGCCAACTCAAAAAAAAAAAAAAGAACTGAGCTTCCCACCATCGCAGCGCCCTGGCCGTGCGTGGCTTCTCCTTGAAGCAAGGAGAGTTGCTCCCACCTGGATTCACACCAGCTTAGGAAATGCAGCTGGAGAGACTGGAGAGAGGAGCGACCGTGGGCTCCGGAGCCCCTGCGACCCGCCTCCCACAGCCCATCTTCACGGTTGACATTTCTTTCTCTTTTCTTTTCTTTTTTTGAGTTGTAGTCTCTCGCTGTCGCCCAGGCTGGAGTGCAGTGGCATGCTCAAGGTCACCACAGCCTTAGCCCACTGGGCTCAGGTGATTTTTCTGCCTCAACCTTCCAAGTAGCTGGAGCGACCAGGTGAATGCCACCACACCACCCGGCAAATTTTTTGGATTTACTGTAGAGACCAGATCTCGCCAAGTTGCCCAGGTTGGTCTCGAACCCCTGGGCTCAGGCAATCCTCTCGCCTCCACCTCCCAAAGTTCTGGGATTACAGGTGTGAACCACTGCACCCAGTCTTTTTTACCTTTTTTTTTTTTTTGAGTTGAAGTCTTACTCTATCGTCCAGGTTGGAGTGCAGTGGCATGCTCACAGCCACCACAGCCTCCATCTTCTGGGCTCAGGCAATCCTTCCACCTCAGCCTTCCCAAGTAGCTGGAACTATAGGCATGTGTCACCATGCCCGGATTATTTTTTTATTTATTTTAGAGACAAGGTCTCACCAAGTTGCCCAGGCCGGTCTTGAACCCCTGAGCTCAGGCAATCCTCTTGCCTCTGCCTCCCAAAATGCTGGGATGACCGGCATGAACCACTGAGCCCGGCCGCAGTCGACACTTCTAAGCCAGAAATGCAGGGAAGATCCGTGAGGCTGGCTCTGGGTGTCAGAATCCAAGTGATGCTGCTTCTGTGTTCTGGGAAACCAGTGGTGTTATTGGGACTCGACTGTGCCGGCTTCTCCTGCCTGAGGGTCTGTGGCCCTTCTGTGGTTTGGAGGGAATTTGTCATCTGCTCTTTGTACACACAATGGGTACAGCAGCCCCTGCAGGGAGTGCCCTCCATTCCAGGAACGCCACCCCAGAGCAAGCTATAGTGAAGAGCGCGGGTGTGTTGGGTCCGGCGCCCTCCACAGGAAGCACCCAGAGGTCCAGAGACCTTACCCAACTCCTTGCTCGCTGTGCAGAGTGGCCAGCGGGGCTGGGCGGGGGGCTGTGCTCCCACCCCTCAGGGACTCGGGGATCGGGGCTCAGGGCAAGGGTCTGGGGACTGCTGGGCTTGGAAGTGACCTACATTGATTTCGCCTCCTTTTCATTGGTCAAAACCCAGTCTCGTGGCCATGTCTGATTGCAAGGGACACTGGGAACACGTCCAACTCTGCTCCCAGAAGGAGAGGGAAACTGCTTGGCCCAGACAGTCTCTAGGGACGAGAGTCTCCTGTGTCCTTTCCTCCCTAGTAACCCGACTTTCCAGGGAGCCTGCAGCCCCAGCAGCTCAGGACGAGAGATTCCCATGGAATACCACCCTCCCTGGGCCCGGTCTTTCCTTCCCACCACCCTGCCCTGTTTCCTCTCTGCTATGGTGCTGGGTGTTTTCTGACATCACATCCATTGTTTGTTCATCTACTTGCCTGTTATCTCAGCAGAACCTCCTGAGGGCAGGGCTCCCCTGCGTCTCTAGTGTCATATACAGCCCCTGCGCACAACCGGCACCATGTTGGTTGAGGGACTGAATGAAGGAAGGAAGGAAGGAAGGAGTGAGTGAGTGAGTGAGCGCTGGAAGCGAGCTCGGGGCGACTGCTGTGCAGGCCCAGAGTCGGGCAGGTGTCCTAGCACTGCTTGCCCGGCCTCAGGGCCCCACAGAGTAGAGATGGGGCTGAGGCTTCCCCGTGGCTCCACTGGGAGCACGGGTGTCCCTGAAGAGCTGGGCCCTGGGAGGAGGGCCTCCAGCAGACAGAAACAGCACTTCCACGATGGCGTCCCAAAAGACTTGTCACCTCCAAATGGACTCCGAGTTGTGCAGGAGCTCAGTGCACACGCACACACACAAGCACACACACATACTCACACCACCCAACTTCCCATACACACATGCGTGCAAACACACACCACTTCACACACCTGCACACACATGCAGGCACACACTTCCCCCCATTTCACACACACACACATATATGCATGCAACCACGCAAACACACGCCACGCCACTTCACACACACACACACACACACACACACACACGCACACACGCACACACGCACACATGCAGGCACACATCACCCACTTCACACACCCCTGCACATGCATTCGCTCCTCTGCTGCCCCCGCCCCCCCCCACCCCGCATTCTCGTCTGGTGCAGACAGTGGTTCTGGGTGCTTCTCTCTGTCTCTGCTTCCATCTGTAGGACCCTGATGCACGTCCTGTCCCC